AATAAATCACTGCCAAGCTTATCTTCTGACAAGGAGTAGGACTCCAGCTTCCAGATGTACCATTAAAATGTAATGTTTCCACTGGGATTTAGCATGGCAGGTTTCCCTGAAGCTTCAGTTTCACTCAGTTAACTAATTATGAGAAAATGTGACATTGGTATTTACTTTTTCTACAGGGACAAATCATTCCCAGCAGGAGGGAGAAGTTGTTATTTTTGTTCTGTTTTGTTTTGTCATTAAAAAGAAATTACTTACACAGTAGTAAATAAACTCTTGTTAGAGGGAAAAAAAAAAAACATTTTTTGTCTACAATTCTATCAATTCACCTTAATGCTGACAATAATTTCTTTGGTTTTCCAAGGACATGGTAGATAAAAGAGCAAGAGCTTGGGTGTTAGAACCAGGTTTGAAAATTAACTCCACCACTTACTTGCGAGGTGACCTTAAGCAAGTTATCTGATCACTATGGCCTCTTTCCCCAGCTGTAAAATTGGGATAATACATCTACTATAGAGTGTTATTTGTTAAAGATGAAGTGAAATAGTGTAGTTGAAGCACTTTAACACAGTGCCTCTACATAATGAGCACTCAATAGATTTTAGCCTTTATACTTAATGACCCTGATACTCTATTATACAAATAGAAACAGTTTACGTGTCACTCATGCCTTGTGTTGCCAATACTATATGACCACACATCTAATCATGAACTAAGCCTTTATTTTGGCACTACAAGCTATATTGTGTATGAAACATTTACTCCCCTTCACCCTAATATAAAAAAGGTTTCCAATGAAAATTTAATGTTCAATGATTATTCACCTCCCTACCCTCCACACACACCCCTTTTAATTTCTCAAAGGTGGTACGATATGCTGAGCAAACATCACTGATAAATCTGCACTTCCTCTCCCACTGCCTGGATACTAGAGAATAATAACATTGTATCTGGGGTACTTTTTAACAAATCAGAAAGTGATTTCACAAGTGATTTCCCATTTGAACTCAGAACAATCCTAAGAGGTACACAGAGTAGATACGATTAGCCTCATTTTACAATAAAGAAAACAAAACTGAGAACAAGGGAGGGTAAAGGGGAAAGCCACCGTATTCAAGCCCTCTATGAAAGCATATCAGTAGAAATGGAAAATGCCAGGATTACTAGACTTTGAAAAATTAGATTATCCCAAGAATAAATTTTGTTTTAATGTGGAGATAGCCACAGTGACCAGTTATGTATTCCAGAGGGAAGCAGGATCACTGGTGGAAAGCAAACAAAATAACAAATTAAGAGGCATAGGGTTTTATATACTAATTTCACAATCCATTTGCCCAATGTGTCTCGAATATTCTACCCATAAATTTGAGAAATAAAAATGCTACTTCCACTTCTCCTATAAGCATATTGCAATGTCATTATTATGTACAAATGATATGTAAGGTTGATGGTATGACAGTCAAAAGATTTTATGCTAGCCATAATAAATGTGAGTAGTCTTCAAATATTTCATGGAAAAATGTGTATTGTCTTTTAAATCCTTTTAAAATTATCCATGCATAAACTCTTAAAAATGTATTAACATTAAAAAAATATTTTGAG